CTGGGTGTCTCCCAGTTGTCCCTGGCAGTCCTGGGTGGCTCTCAGGTGTCCCTGGGTGGCTCTCAGGTGTCCCTGGCAGCCCTGGGTGGCCCCTGAGTGACCCTGGCAGCCCTGGGTGACCCCCCAGTCAGTCCCCCCTGACAGCAGGGTTGTTTTTCCAGCATCGAGCGCATCATCACTCCCCGCCTGGCCCTGACCACAGCAGAGTTCCTGGCGTACCAGTGTGAGAAACACGTGCTGGTCATCCTGACAGACATGAGCTCCTACGCCGAGGCTCTCCGAGAGGTACAGCCTCATTAACATCTTAATTAATGTGTTTATTAACAGGGCTGGCTGTTGGCAGGAAGGGGTGGTGGTGGAAAGTGAGAAGCGAAGCTTCTGTTGAAGCGTTTGTGATCAATATTCATGGCAATGTTTGGAAACAGCCAATGAGGGTTTTAATTGATGCTTAATTAGCTGGGATTTGTGTGACAATTCCATCCYAGARTTGTCCCAGGCCAGGYTGGACAGGGCTGGGATCATCCTGTGTCCCTGACAGTCACAGGGGTGGGACTGGATGATGTTGAAGTTTCCTCCCAACCCAAACCACCCCATAACTCCGTGAATGAGCAGTTTGATACCATAACTCTGCATTTATCCTGTCCTGTCACACTTTGTGCTGACAAAGAGCTGCTTTAGACCCTGGTACACAAAATCAGGGGAGACAGCAGCTCCTTGGCACTGTTTTTGTGGCTGTTTCCAGGTGTCAGCAGCTCGGGAGGAGGTTCCTGGCCGCCGTGGCTTCCCTGGCTACATGTACACCGACCTGGCCACCATCTACGAGCGCGCCGGGCGAGTGGAGGGCAGGAACGGCTCCATCACCCAGATCCCCATCCTCACCATGCCCAATGATGGTGAGTTTGGGGGGCAGAGCTTTGAGGGGCTCCATCACAGCTCCCTGCCTGCTCTGGGGCACGCAGGAGGGCCTTTGGGGTTCCTTCACGTGGCAGGTTTTGGCTGCTTGCTCTGTGTTTTACAATTAAAAATGTAAAATTGAGCCTTGGTGCTCATGGCCCTGTCCAGGAGCATTCAGGAGTAACTGATGAAGTAACAAAAAGCTGCAGCTCAGGGTTAAAATGGGTATAAAAGGGTTGAAAATGGCCAAACTGCTCTTTTCCCACAGATATTACTCACCCTATCCCTGACTTGACCGGGTACATCACCGAGGGACAGATCTACGTGGACAGGCAGCTGCACAACAGGCAGGTGCGTGCCACACTGCTCACTCAGTGCTGAATTTATTAATTATTTTAATTTATTKAAGGATTCCTGTTAATTGCTGGCTRTTCTCCCCCAGATTTACCCYCCCATCAATGTCCTGCCCTCCCTGTCCCGGCTGATGAAGTCGGCCATCGGCGAGGGGATGACAAGGAAGGACCACGCCGACGTGTCCAACCAACTGGTGGGTGAAATGTTCCTCAGGAAATGGGGATTGTTTCC